CCTTGGTTTTTCCCCAACACACTGTGTAATTTTAATGAAAGTGCACTGAAGTTGACTGGTTTCTGTGCTGCATCCGTGGCTGCTCATGTGCTACCATCCACTATCCCTGGTCCAATATTATGTACGCTCAATTAAGCTGCAGAACACCCATCCCCCCCCCCCCCCCCCCCCCCCCTACCTCAGCCGTTTGCCATCTGGATTTTCCCCAGCTTTTTTTGCACCCGCAATTTTCCCATTTTCCGCAGCGAGAGCTACTTATATGCAACTATTGCTCTAAACAAATTGCATTTGCAGTCAATTTCTGCTCCTCAGTCTGTTGGCTTTGTCTGGCAAACGCCCTTTTCTTGAGAAAGGGAATGGAAAACAGCTGTGGCTGAAAGGGTATAAAAAGGTACTTACTTCTTTGTAAATTACAAAGAACTTTATTTGCTTTTACATTGGAAAAATAAGTTTTCGTTATTATTAAATAAAATGATCTAAAAAAGTGACTAAAATGATTTGGTAATACCTGAAACTCGGATGAAAATGCCTGAAAATGTACTTCAAAATTTGTTTTTCCTTTAAAAAATTAAAAGGAAATTCAATACCTCCCACATCAGAAAATTTTATATCTTTTCTTGAGTATAATGATCTTAACAAAGTGATAAAAATGGTAAGGAGAATATTTATTAATACCTGAAGCTTAAATAAATATACTGTATGTATACCTTTACACTATAAATAATTTTAAAACGATTTTCAAAGTTAGAAAAACTTTTAAATTATTAAAAAGACTTAAGATTTCATTGGAATTAATTACGTTTTCGATCTAAAACATGAGAAACCCCAAGTAATATATTTTAAAAATATTTTCTATTAGCATAGATTGTATTTTTTTGGCCGCTGCTGTGAAATACGGCTTAGTGCCCCTGTCACGACCCATTAGGCAGCCATTGTTTTGGACTGGCCCCGAAAAGCTGGGCACACAATAAAAGCCAAATTCCGAATGCCAACCTCTAGCTCTTGCCCCTATTTTTCCAACACCCCCTCTCGAAAAGTTAACGCTTGATTTCTGCACTAAAAACCAGAAGTTTGCCATTCTTTTGGGTCATTAGTTGGTAATTTATCAAAGTCATGAATTTATATTATATACCCGCTTCCGGCCACGCCCCCCGACAAACGCCCCCGCCCCTCGGCAGCTGCAAAGTGCAGATGCAAAGTTTTCAATGCGGCAGCTGTCATAAAAGCAAATGGGAAAAGCAGGAAGCCAGCCCAGAAGGAAAGTCAAGTCAAGTCGACTGAAGTCAACTTAAGGCGGGGCAATAAAATATGAAGAGCCCGAGAGGAATCTGGAATCGTAGTACTATAGTGTTGGCCCCCAGAAATAATGGACCTCCATTCTGTCGTCTTTCAATTAGTCAAATTTGTAGCGCGTTTCTGATTAAAATTCGCCCGCAGCGTAAATAGTTTTTCCCATTTTAAGGGTCCATTAAACTCAAACAATCGAGGGTCGATTCGTGCGAAGAGGACTCCTTGGGAACGGTAGGGAAGTGCTAAGCCATACACAGGGAGAATCAGAGGGTTATCTTCCAATATATTGGCATATATTCAATGTTAATTTGAAAACCAACAAGTTTCTAGATTTCGCACTTTTTTCATATCTTAAAAAATAGCAAACTTATAACCCATGCTAAAAATGTTCATTAAAATATTATTTTTAATAAGATAGAAAGATACAAAGATATTTTATAGATTAAATTAGACTCAATTTATTATACTAATTCAATTAATAAAGCTAAATTTCGATATTTACTTAACCCATTTTAAATTGAATTGGTTCCATACAAAAATTTAAAATCCCGCCTAAAATGAAGTTACTATTTATAATCGTACTTCTTGTTTATTTTACTTACTACTTATCTTTAAAGATATGTCTGCTATAAGGCTCATACTAAAAAAATTATTATAATATATCTTTGAAATTATTCAGGGACATAAAATTTATTTAAATAATTAAAATTAATTTTTTAAACCTTTAAAAAAAATATGCTAAATTCTAATTTGACCAAAATAAAAAATATTTGATGTTAAAGAGAATTTCTGACCTAATCAAAGAAACCATTGATTATTTTGTATGGATTTTGAATGTCGAGAATAAATAAATAAAAAAAAAAAGTTCTCAAACTCAATGAACCAAATAGATTTTTTAGAACTCATTTAAAAATCTATACAGCGTTTATAAAAGAGTTAGAAAAAATAATTATCCTAAGTGCATAAAGAAGTAAAGAACTCAACAAAGTAACAGTTTTAAAAGAAATACCATCCTAAACCCAATTTTGAGCCCATTTTCTCGCAGTGCAGCCCAGGTGAGTTATGTCCATGACCTGAAACCAGCCGAATGACAGCCCTTTTGAGTGTCCTGGCCATCGTTACCATCCCTACAATCCCTACCAGCCCTACAATCCCTACCAACCTGGCCATTTGTGTTGCTCATTTCGGTCGCTTGTCCTGCACTTGACAATGCAATTTGCGGCAGATTCCCGTCTGCAGATTGCTGCAATGAATCGCCAGCGTTTTTGCCACAGGCTCCACAGCCCCTGGATATCTCGACATTCATTGCATTAGTTTGCCAGTCTAGTCTTTGGCCAGCAGACCAATTAGGCGGACTGCTCCACCATCGAATGCAAAATCCGCATGCAAACGCCAATGCCGCAGAGGCACTCGGTTCATTAATGCAAAAATATGCGTAAAGTTTCGGCCCGCATTCGCATTGGCCAGGAATTCCTGGAAACTTTATATCAGTATGCGGATTCGAACTCAAATGTGGTAATGGAAATGCGGGCCAGTATCGAATGTTGGGAAATTCAAGGAGCCAAAAGTAATTCAAGTTGGGGAAAACAATCCGGGGGAGTTATGATTACAATTGCCCCATGTGCAGTGGGTGTCTCAGTTACTCGAATGGGGAATTTAAGCATGATTTAAAGAGGGTTTTGGGTAATATTTATTTTAATATTTTCATTGATTTATTGGAAATTATTAATGAATATACACAATATATTAAAAGAAACGAAATATCTATAGAAGATATTTTTTTGGAATATTCTTTTACCATTAAATCTGAATTTTATATTTGCTTAGCATACTAAAAATCGATTGAACAAAAAAACGTGAATTACAAAGTCCAATTCCCATACTCTTTTTTCAAATATAACCCACATTTCACAAAAAATTCAATAGCTAAACGTAATCGTCATAAATATTTCCCCACATATTATATAAACACTTATACAACTACATTGCTCATACGCCCAGTGCAACATTATCATAACAATGCACTCAAAAATAAACCAATAAATCAGGCTCAATGGCTAACCTTTTTGGACAGCTAATGAAATGTGAATCACATTTGCTGATTGCCCTAGAATCAAGTGATTTAGGCTGTTTCGAATATGAGTTGCTGACGAGGACGATGACAATGTTGATGACGGCGATTTCCCCTCTCGCTGTGGGCCCATAATGTGTTTCCGCTTGCCTGATTCATTTAATTATGATTTCCGGTGTCGAGGCGAACTGAGTGCCGAGCACCGCAAATGAAGTCCTGCCAAAAGGATGGGTGAGCCAGGAACACGTGCTCATTATTACAGCTACTTGATTGCTATGTCCTGCCTGGCAGTCAAAAAAAATATAAGCCCACTCGAAAAAGGGAAGGAAAATGGGAAAACACCACTAACGGATTACTCTTGACCAGGACGTTTGGGGATTTATAGGAAAATTATGCTTATATTTTTAGTCATTGAACCCAAACTGTAAACAAATTAGAAATGGATGTATTAGCACAAAAAAAGTATAATTTTAATATTTTTATATTTTTTAATTAAGTTAAAAAAACTGCATTGAAAAGGAATGTACATAGTCTTTCTAGGTGAAATTAAAATACCTACAAATGTGAAAAAGTACTTCAAAGTTTCATATTTAAAAAAATAACACTCCTTTCTTAATTTACGTTAAATTATAAAGTAATTTAATATCACAGAAATTATTATAATAATATCCCTTTCATTTTTTTTATTAAGCCTGAAAAGTGGTATTTAAAAGGAATGTTTATAAGTCTTTCTAGGTATAATAAAAATACCTACAAATGTGAAAAATTACTACAAAAATTTCATATTTTAAAATTACGTTTCATAACTTATTATATTCAAAAAAAATATCACTACTTTTTTATTTACTTCAAAAATATAAATTAAAATAATATATCAAAAATTATAATAATAATATTTTTGTATTTTGGATTTGAATTATTAAAATGGTAGTTTTATAACTTTGAAATATTCCATTTTTAAGTAATTTTGTACTTACCTTACTGTATACATAGTAAAGTAAAAAAGTGACTTAAGATATGCATATTTAAAATGATGTTTTAAAACCCATAAAGTTGCATCCTTTTTAATTTACTTCAAGGAAAAACAATAGTTAAAACTCGTAGTAGATGGAAACCATTTTTCACCAGTTTCCTTGCCGAGAAAAAAGCCCTAAGCTGAACTTTTCCTCAGCTGGGTCCAGATGGATTATGATTGCCGGATTGGCCTTTATAGTTAACTGAAACTCAGGGAATAAGGGGATGAAGTGTAGGGTATGTAGGGTATGGCGAGGGCGAGGCTAACCCATCAACAGCCATTCATCAACTCGACGAGCAACAATTTCCCCCCTCTGCCAGGATATCTATCCTTTTGCAATTTGCTTGTATTAGAAACTCATTTCCGTTTGTAATTGAGTCTTTGCTGCCAGCTGGTGCATGTGGTATGTACTGAAGTTGCCCCGTGGTAACTGAAAGCTGAATTCTGAATTCTGAAATTTGAAATCTAAAATCCCACCCAAATTATGCCGATGGTTATGCAAATTAATGGGCCTGCCAGCCGGTTGGCCCCGTTCGCTTTTTGGCTTTCTGGCTTTCTGGCCTGCCCCGATGAATCGATTCGTAACCCAACTGAACCGAGTTCTATTTCCGCTCTATATTGCAGAACCATCGCCGCTCTATGACAACAACCACTATCATGAGGAGTGCCTGCGGTGCAATTCCTGCGGCCTGAACCTGACTGGGCCCAATCAGAAACGGGCCAGGAGATTTAAGGTAAGTGGACCTCCAAAGGTTGGGAATAAAAATATTATAGTAATACAGCTATAAATAAAAACACAGAAGAGACCAAGTCTAGCTAATATTTCATCCCATTGCATAGGAATTTGTATTTCTTTTTATTATTACTATTGTATTATACTTTAATCCTTGTAAAAATATTTTTAAAATATTTATTTGATCACTTTATTATCCAAAAAAGGAAGAAACCTCGGGAAAATGACTGTCTTTTTATTTATATTTATTACTTTGTGAGTCAACTTGATATCTTTGTATGATAAAGATATTTTAAAAGTATTTATTATAACCACATTTCTTTACTGGAAAGGAACAAGTCTAGCAAACATTTCATACGATATCATATGTCTTTTTATTTCTATTTGTTTTTCCAATTTTATTTAATATACTATTTAGTTAAACATTTTATCTGGTGGCTTTATTTATATTTATTATATTTTATTGGAAAACCCTCACAGCAAAAAGCGCATTTTTTTTTCTCATTCCATACGAAAAAAAATCATCCGAAATTAATGGAAATTAAAAGGAAGCTTAGAGCATTTTTTGATTCATTGAGATACAGATATTTGGGTAAGGTATTTTAAAAACATTTATTAGAACCACATGACTGTACTAAAAAAGAACAAGTCTCCCGATCATTCCATACATTTTCTTAAGAATTTTCATTCCTAATTATTTATCTTAAGGTTGTAATATATGATAATGTTGTAAAAATACTTTTAAAATTTTAATTGGGATCAACTTAATATACTGAAAAAGAACAAGTCCCTGAAACATATTAGAAGACTTCCTCTTCATTTATATTTATTATTAAAATGTGTTCCTGCAATTTGCAGAAAAATCCTTACAGCACAAAACCCATTTCATTTTCTCATGCCATATGAAAGAGTCTCATCCAAAATTAATTGAAATAAGAAAGAAGCTTTGAGCATTTGTTGTGTCATTGTGAGAGACAGAAATAAATAAGTGATGAGTTTGGCGAGTTTTCTTTTGGCTTCGTACCTAACTGATATAAAATTCAAGACAATAAACCAGTAACTGCCACTTAAGCAACTCTCTGAAAACTTTTTAAAAACAAAATAAACAAATGTAAATATATTGTTAATTGAAAAAAACAGTAGATAAGGCAAAAATAATGAGGGGATTTCGCAAAGAGCAAAAAATAATTGCCAATTTGGGCGGTAAACTCGAGCTCGTATTTATTGGATTTTTTTTGCGGCCCCAACCTGAACTCATCTGAAATGCATTCGCCCATTTTGGGCCCCATAAAGGCGGACTCATTACGGATGACGGATGCATGTGCGGCAAGTGGCTTAATCAAAATTACATATAAGGGGGGGGGCAAACAAAAATACAGTAAAAAAATCAGAGCCCGAATAAATCATTTACGGGGAAGAAATCCAGTGAAAATACAGTGAAAATCCAGCCAACTTACTGGGGAGCCTTTACTGATTTCATTTTTCGGTCTTCTTACATCCTGCAGAACCAGATCCTGTGCGACCTGCATTTCGCGGACGTGGCCCTAATGGAGTGCTCCGATTTCATGCAGCAGCTGCGGAGCTTCAAGCCGCAATCCTTGGGCTGCGCGGTGGCCAGGCGCAAGAGCTCCACCACGCTGATATTCCCGCTGCCACCGCAGGCCTGCTCAGGTATGTACCAGATACAGATACTATATGCCCTATGTGTGCTATGTGTGCCATGTGGGCCATATCCCAAATGCACGGCGGGCGATGGGCACATTTCACGGGTATTATGGCCAAATCGGTACTGGGAACGAATCGGGGGGATTGCGCTCAGTCCAGCAGATACCCCGGGAATCCTGCTGGCAGGGCATATCAATATACCCCTTATATTCAGACAATAGTATCATATCTCAATTGAAAGTATCTTATAGATACTATTTTTTATTCAGTACCGCAAATCAAATAATTTAAATGAAAAATTGCACAAAAAACTTTTAACTAGTGACAGAAAACAGAATCAAATGACAGAACTCTTGAAAATTAATGGTAACCAGAGTGATTATGTCTACATCTTACAAAAAATAACAGATATGTCCTGAAGGATAAATATGAAAGTTCGGCTTTTTATACTAGTAACCAAAAAAAATTAACTTGCAGATAACAATAGAATTTAAATTAATGGATTAAGGATTAGATTCGTTATTTGTTCTTATCAGAAGAACAAGTTTATTTGCGTATGGTCATAAGATACTTTCTTGATTGTTAACTAACTAGATATATTAAAAAAAAACTCAGAAAAAATTCCTTAAGCTTAACAATCATTTTTTAGGGTTGTCATAACTTTTTAAAATAAATCCAGTCAGTTTTTCGAAAATCAAAAGCTCTCACTAAACAAATTTATAAATTTAAAAACGTTTCAACCAGATCAAAAAAATCTCATTTTCGTGAAAAAACAATGATTTTTTAGGGTTGCCATAACTTTTTAAAATAAATTCAGCCAGTTTTTCGAAAATCAAGCAATTGTAATATGTTCTTAAAAACTCTTACTAAACAAATTTATTATCCTTATGCATTTAAAAGTGTTTCGACGAGATAAAAATCGCATTTTTATGAAAAAAACTTTTTAAAACTTTAAGAATTTTTTAAAAGAAATATATACTTAATTCTTTAGTCATTGTTTTGATATAATGTTTTAAACAGATCACAAAACTAGCTTGAGAATGTTTAAAATTTATAAAAAAACGATTAAAAATCGCTTAAAAAGGTTACAATTTTTCAAAAAAATGTTTAAAAATTGCTTGAAATTGTTTAAAATGTATAAAAAAGGTTTAAAAACATCCATTATTTTTCGAAATCTATAATTATTTGTTCTTTCTTTTTTAAATATGCTTTTTTTCTGTTTAGACAATGTCTAGTGCTGTCTTTCACTACAAAACAAAAATAAACTAATTTCCTTAAAAAATAAATCATTAAATTCTGTTATATTTACAAAGGATATTTTCCATTCGAATACGCGAACAACCCTTTTATGGCATAAACTTCAATTTTTCCTTCGCTTTTTTTGTGTGTTTCGTGTGTGTGTGTGCGTAGCGTCATCATTATAATTCAAATGAGATTTGCGCGCACAGCAATCTACTCACCCACACACGTACCACCACTGCCGCACACGGACGTGGAGAAAGCGGAGAAAGGCGAGAGAAAGGGGAAGAAAGAGCGGCGAGAGCGCCACGTCTACAAGTTGGAGAATGTTTGGCATTTTGCATAATAAAGTTGTTCAAACATATTTGACGTCGGGTTGCGCACTCACACACTCGCACTCACACACACACGCACATAACGATACACACACACACACACACAGACAGATAGAACCGCCATTTTTCGCTGACATAAACTTTCAATTCGGTTTTCATTTTACTTTATTTCCTTTCGTCTTTTTTTTATTATTTTTTTTTATTTTGTCGGCACTCGCAAACGATTTAATTAAAATCCCAAAGAAAAAACAAAACGAGCGAAATACGGAACATTTCTTAACATTATTTATCAGTTCTCTTATATGAGATTCTGTATCTGGATGCGCAAGCGGGCATGCAAAGTGTATTAACTGGATTTTTATTGCGAAACTTTTGGCCCGAACTCGGGCGTCCATTTTAATTACATACAATATGCCCGAACCCAGCGAAATAAACGGAACTCGGTCTCGAATCGGTTGAATATTATTGCCGTCCAGCGACGATGATGGAATTAACTTGGCATCCGGCATCCTTGATTTTATTCAATGATTTCACGACCAATTAGGGCAAATTGCCAGCGCGGCTATGGGGATTTTCGGAATCAACGACCTTTAAATCAAATTGCCGAGGCAAAATAGATCGATTAAAATGCTCCTCTAGTCCATGGCAGAACGTGTGTTATATATAGAAATTTCCAATAAAATTTAAAACTTATAAATATTGGTTCTCTATGTGTGACTAGTTCAGTAAGAACGAGTTTATACTTGTAGAAAAATAGTAATGAGATAAATAGATACATTTAAAATTCTTTTTTTAGAGGATTTGATTTACACCTAACATAATACCTTTACTTAAAAAATAAAAATAAATAAATTGACAACTGTTCAAATATATTTAATGTTTTTAACAGCAGCAGAATAAATTGAATAGTTTTAAAATGATTACAATTTTTGCAGCTATGTGACACATTTTAAAAATATATATCCTTTTTTTTGCCTTTTAAAAATATGCAAAAGTTTTTTTAATAATTAAAGAAAACTTAGTATTAAAATGGCATTTACCTTGAGTTCTTCTTTTACATTTTAAGGTGTCAGCATAATTTGAAACCTTTTTAAAGGTAGTTTCAAAAAGTTTTCTACCTTAAACTCGACAACTGTTGATGACTTGCAAATAGTTCAGTTCAGTTGAGTGACTGTCATCAAACTTGACACGTTTCGCCTGCATTTAACTTGGAATTTTTCTCCACAATGCACCTACATCCGCATCCGTATCAGCACACACATCCGCATCCCTATCCTCATCCGCATCCTTATTCCCATCCACCATCCGCCATTCCCATCCGCCATCCCCATTCACCATCCACCATCCCTATGCACCATCCACCATCCTCCATCCTCCATCCCTTAGCATATGTATTAGTGCTCAGCTGCGCTCATTTGAAGCGACATTAAGTGTGCACTCGAGTAAAGTGATTTGATGCGTGTCACATTCGAGTGCAGCACTTGCTGCTTAGAAACGACATCCCATACTTTCCCGGGAAAGGGAAAAGGCCAAGATAAAAGTATACAAAATATGCGGAAAAGTGCTGTTTAAACTTCTTACCTAGCTATGCTAATATCAAAATAATTGACTTTAATTGAGAGGTTTTCAAGTCTCTAATAAGCATATCGTTACTGAAAGAACTTAATAACTCATAAAATTAATTGCCAGCTTTTAATCTCTTCAAAACGAATGAATAAGTTCAGCTTCCTTTGAATTACTTATTAGTTTGGTTTGTATTGCAATGTCTAGTTTGCCTTAAATCATTTGTGTATGAAATTTTTTTAAAAATAAAACTTTAATCGCCTTAAAAGGCAAAAAAAGGTTGGTCAACAATATGCAATTAATTATGCAAATATAAGTGGTGGTCAAATATAAACAAAACCTAATGGAAATTATATTTCCACTTAATATCTCAGCATTGATTGCACTGAAAACTAAAATTTGGACAGCAAAGCTAATTTAACAAAGTATCTTTTGCGCTGCAAGGGAAATCCTTAAAGTTTTTGAGTCCCATTTGGGCCAAGATCGAGGGCCCAAGGTCATCAAATAGATTAAATAAATACAGTAAATAAATCATTTAGCGCTTCGAAAGAAACGTATACGCCACGTAGGTCACGGAGCACACGTTTATGGCCTAAATCGCGCAACAGAGTTATAAACACGTATTATATGCCATCCCAAATAGCAGCCAGGGCCCACGCTCAGATCCATGTGAGTACGTGACAATTAAATTTATGAAATACCATGCAGCCCGAATGGAAAAAGGCCAAAAGAGCCCGAGTTTTCTAGTCCTAGTGCTGGTCCAATTCCAAATCCAAAACCGAGTTGAAAAGTCAGTTCAAGGGCCACCCGACGCGTCTCGAATTATCGCTGCGAAATGGGCGCGTGACTGCTGCCAGGATGATGCCAAGTTGGCCCATTAGCGGAAGTCGGCCAATACAATGAAATATCCCCGAAAGAACCGGAAGTCGGGCCAAGAGCCATGGACTGGGGATTACTTTAAATGTATTTTGAAAACAAACGCCACTCAATCATTTAGGCCAAAGAGCGTTTATTATGATCTCTATCGCTAAAAAAAATAATGTAGTCTGTCAAAATAGAAATCGATCAAAAGTAATAATAGTTTTTGAGATATTTTAAAAATTACTAGCATATAAATGGTGATGAAAAAGAATAGACTATCCAGAGAGAATTACTATGGTATTTTCCTTTTCTGGATGTGTCAATCCTGAGTGCTGGGTTTTTTTAATCAAAAAACAGATCAATAATCATTATTTACAGTCCCTAATATCAATGGTAAAATTAATTTTTATAAATATTCCTATACACCATTCAAAAATACAAGTTTTTAAAAATTCCAAATAAAGAGCAAGAAAAACTTGTGTATATCTACGATTTTCTTTGAATTTACTATTCATAAAAAAGAGCTTACTTAAGCAACCTAATATCCATCTAGTCACTAATTTGACCCAAGTTAAGGCAGCAAAAATCAGAAAATAATTTTTAAAATTATTTCATTTCAATATATAATTATATAGGTGAATTTTTAGTAGTTCAAAAAAATTTGTATGCTTCATAATAATATATTTAGCCATGATTTTATACTATGATAATAATAATTATAGTGATTTGATAGCTTACACATTTAATAAAAATTAAAGAGCAAGATAAACTTGTAAGTGCTTGGGACTTTCTTTGAATAGAAGCCCAAATATTTAAAAAAAAAGCCACTGGGAAAGACTCCTTAAGTTTAGCGGGAAATACTTCCTCCTTTATTCAAGCAATATTCGCTATAAGGATCCATCTAGGCCTTAATTTGGCCCGAGTTATGGCTGGCAATAATCAAGGCCCTCAGCTCGCAAGCACCCGCATATCTTGTATTATTCACTGCCTTGTCATCTGCTGTTGGCCATAAATTTGAGCCATGGATTGGGCCACGCCCCCCGTCGCCCCCATCGCCCACCTGCCCGGGCATTTACATTTTAATATGCATTATTAGCGGGATAATTGTTTGGGAATATTGCCTAAGAATAGACAGCCATAAAAACACGTAGCCTCGGGTAGGAGAACTCCCATCAATTTGTCACTTTGCCATTCCATTTTCAGAGTATTGGTGGCAACGCCTCCGTTGTCATTTCTGTTATAATAAATTCAAAAGGCCCCCCCGACATGAAAAAGGAAAAATTGTGGCGCACTCTTAACGTTCATTTGTCAGCTCGGTTTCGTTTGCCATTTCCATGGGTTTTCCATGGGTTTTCCCACACCCCCACAAGCATTTTAATATTTTAATATATCCTGGCACGCATTGTTGTCTCACTTGTTCGGTGAAAAATGATTTTAATTTTAGCCCGCTTCACGGTTGTGTGGATTTTAATAAATAGATTTGTAATAAGTAGCCACTCTGCAGTCTTTCCAAGAAAGAAAATTAATTAAGCAAGCTGGTTATTTACGACCAAGTTCGAGTTTGGCAATTGCAAGGAAAATGTCCAATAACCAAACGATTTTTCATAGCACATCGATTGCAATTTGGTCAGGCTTTTACCCTTTGGCTTATAATTTTAATTAAACTGAAACAACAATGGAACCACAAATCCGTTGCAAGGTTTTCAATTTATGAAAGCAAACCATGCATTTGCATATTCCTTTTTACAACTGACCCCTTTTATTTGAGACATTTAATAAGAATAAAAGGTTTTTCACTAAGCTATTTATAAAAAATACTTAAAAAAATATCCATATTGCTCACAAAGAGTTTTAAGCAAGAAATCTTACCTATTGAAAAATACTGTTGCCATTTTGTCAGCAATTTCTCAGCATATATGCATTTTCCCACCCACTGCCAGTCTTTTATATCGGCTTTCTTTTCCTCCTTCTTGGATATAACTCAAAATCAATCCTTGAAATGCGAAAATCTGATAGATGTCTAATTGAAAAGCCGTGTTACAAAGGCAAGAAATGTGTTGCACAAGCCAGGCTTGAATTCAGTATTATTTCTCTGTATTCCCGAGGCTCACTTGCCACTAATTGAAAATACATATTGCCGACTTGATTGAAATCCCAACGGGGTGCTTGTGAATTTTTGGAAAAAAAATATGAGAATTTCTGTTTGCTCCTTTGATAAATCAAGCAAAATATATGCTTTATTGGCCATTGGAAAATTTTCCGAATCATATGTCAAGCTGTCAAGGTAAAATCAGAAATATATAAACCTCTTTGCAATGGTAAACCTACAAAGAGATTTTTTTTTATCAAAAATCAGAAAAATTCATAATTGTTCAATACAAAAAGGTCTGCGAATGAAATCAATCTGAAAATAACCTGCAGCTAGCCTTTTTTTAAACGTTTTCAGTGCAGTCAAAGAGATTCTTATCGACAATCAAAAAAATTGCAGCTTTACTGCGGGCATTAAAAAATATACGAGTACAACAGGGCGTATGCGCATTTGCAGAAAAATACCAATTGGAAAGCAGAAAAAATATCCGGGAAATCAATGACCTTTGCCAATCAAAAAACTGATAATTGACTTATGAAAAAGTCACAATACGGGCTCTGCTTTTGAGTTTTTCGAGTCTCCTTCGTCACTAATTAAAATGCAGCATTGTCAAAGGCCCACTGGGCGTATACGCAATGTGGGAAAAGTCTGTTGTCCGCAAGAAATCTTTGAAATTTGAGGCTTTTTCTTTTGCTGAAGGGAATGCACCGGATGACCGAATCAAAAGTCTCTCGAAAGAAGATTGCAATAAAATTCTTTGGACCTCTTCAAATATTGCAATGCAAAGCAAATTAATTTTTGCCCATTGCAAGGAAGAAAATGTGGGTGGGAAAATTTGGAATGGGAAATTGGAGTGGTTGCTTTACTGCGGCTTCTTTTGTCATTGAATTTTGCAAAACTGGGATTTCTGTTTAATTAAGCTGAAAAGACATGGCCGCAAGAAATTTCTCAGTTAACTAGCTTCATGGAATATTTATTGTCTATTTGGAAGATGTGCTCATGGCCATTTAAAAAAGAATGCTTTCTACCTAGACTTATTTAAGAAAATCTTTATTATTTGTTACTTATCTGTTTCTGATTAATGACTATTTATTGTCTATTTGGAAGGTGTATAGCCATTGAAATACATGCTTTTTACCTAGATTTATTTGGGAAAATCTTTTATTTTTCACGCAAAGCTTAAATATTTATTGACTATTTGGAAGGTGTGCTAAGGGCCATTAAAAAAAAAATATTTTTAATTAGATTTATTAACAAAAAAATTTATATATATCTTACTAAATTGTTTCTGAATACTGAAGGGGTGTTTATATATTTTTATCCAACGTTTTTATTACTTCTTAAAAATAAATAATATATATAAATTATCAAAACTTTTCTTTGAAGGGCTTAATAGAAACTATATATATATAATATATGCCAAAATTAAAATGATCGGTAAAAAATAGAATTATTAAAATGTAATATTACTATATATTATTGTTATAGTTATTATTATTTTTAGTTATATTATAAATTCCCCTTACACATTTTTTACCATGTGTGCCACTATCCTAAAAAATAGTTAATCATTTTTTTAGCCAAGACTTAAGTGATAACTAATCATATAATGTAAGGCCTCCCCTTCACATATTTTTGAGCTCTTAATTTTTTAGTAAAGACCTGGGTGACCACTATATTAAAAGCCCCCCTCACATATTTTTTTTTGACCACCTGTGCCACTATCCCGGGACTGAAAACGAAACCGAAAGTGGAACTACGCCCCTGATGCGGCTAAGCTAAATGGAAAAAGCAAACTTTTGTGCCACACACTCTGCAATAAGCAATTATTATCCTGCTGACGTGGCCCGGGGTCAAAAGGTGGCACGTACAAAGCCCGGTGGACGGATGGACACGTGGCCGCCAATTTAAGCCTCTTAAATGTACCGAAAAAGCAATTAAAATATAATCAATATGCTGCTCCCCAGCCCAGCTGTCGATGGACAGCCATCGAGTTGTGGATGAGTTGCTGCTGGAATCGTCGGATATTGTCATCCCGTTTGGGCGTGGGTTCATCCAGGGTTTTCACATCATCCACATGCCGATAGTGCTGCAGCTGGCCAAGATCAGGGCTAACATCGTGGGGACCACATGCATCCATCCACTTGAGGGCAAAGTGGTTGTGCAACACACTGGCATGACCAGTGCTATGGAGGCACTTGATGGCCATGGCGGGATTCAGATGTTCCGCCACTCGAACTACATGCCTTAGCATATAGAATGGACTTGGAATGCTGGAATCCTCGGGCAGTTCCTTGGGAAAGTACACATTCCGAAAGCAATAGCTACTGCGGGCAGTGCAATTCACATCCCTGATCTGCAGTTCCCTCAGTAAATCCGACCAGCTGAGATACTTGCCCAGCGGCATGATCACCTCGTCCACATCCATCATGGCCACAAAGTCAAAATCATATAGACTGCGATAGAAACAGTCGTTATAGAGCAGCACTTCGGTGATGATCTGCTGGAATCTCTGATGGTCCTTGGTCTCTTGGATAAACTCGAATTTTCTGAGATCCAGCAGTCCATCCCGAGATCCTGAGTAGTGCGTCAGGGTTCTTGAGGTGTTCGGCATCAGTTCCCCTATATCATAGGCCATAACCCTGCCCACTCCCAGTAATCTCATCAGTTCCAGCCATTCTACCAATCTCTCGGATATATCAACATCCGGAAAACGCAGATACTTGACACAAATTCCAGTTCTCAGGGAACGATTTGGATTGGGTGGCTCTTCGGCGGGGGGTTGGACCACTTTTAGAGCATTTTGTGGAACGGCACAGGGATGGCCAAAGACCAGGCTCACCAGCTGGGGGATCCGTGGAGATTTCAGTTGAAAGGTCAGCAATGTGGGATATACCAGACCCGGTTTAGTGCCCCAATCCGTGTACCAGGCCACTTTGGTCTCATGTAAACTCAACGTTTCCGGCACAGTGTCTCCATCGAACCAGACCTGCAAATGGGTCTCGGGATAGGGACCCTCGGACGTGGTCACCATGACGAGGACCATCACCTCGGGAGTCCTGGGTCTCCGATCGTAGTATGCCCCGTACAGGTAGTAGCTCAGGTTGCCGTGCCGCGTGAGTTGGAAGGACGGGTTCGGAAACTTCAGGTCGTCGAAACGGGGATACGGGGCGCACTTGGGTCCCTGGGCCCAGCCCTCGTCCTCGTTGCCCCGCAGCAGGGACTCCAGATCCGGATCCTCCTGCGAACTTACGGGTTTAGGGGACAGGTCCTGTTCGGCGTCCAGTTTTGGGAGGCTGCCATGATGGACAATTTCTGGGGGAAAAATAAAGATACACTTATTTATCCAATTAAAATAAACTTTAGTTCTACTAGCTAACCATACATTACAACAAATTTTCCATCTATAAATTTAATCAACTAATATTTGTTATTATCATCTATTAATCGTTAGTTTTATAGCGTTTTATTTTTAATAAAAATATTAATATCCGTTTTTAAGAACTCTTCAGATTAGCCTAATTTCTAGGTTTATTATTTAACATTTCTTGTATAATAATTTCTACATATTCAACATTTTATTCAAACAATCATTATTATTACCATTTTTAATCAATAAATTAGCTTTGATTTTGAGAGTTACTTTTTGATCAATATATTAATACAATTTTGTGAAGGCCTCTTCTCATGAAATTATTTAGTCGACTCAAGCTTCATATTTGTTTCCAAATATTACTTATGAGCGCTTTATGATTTTTGTATATTTTCTTTATATTTTTTAAAGCACTAAACAAACATTAAAAAAATAACAAATACTTTAAAACCCGAATTTTTATTTTAGGCTGTTTTATTTTTTTCACCATGTTTTGTGTTTATAAACGCGGATCTTTCAAAGTTCGTTTTAAGTAAAATAAAATATACCTTTTTGATGCAGGGGCGGGGACAGGGGTGAAATTCTCGGGGGGCCACCATTATTCTGAGGTAATTCGACTAACCAGAAGATCAGAAAGAGAACGAGGATGACGAGAACACATATTAAAGGTGCCCTGAAGGACCGCAGCTGATTGTAAACCATCGCGAAACGCCCGAAGTCGAGTACTAAACTGAATGCACTTTTGCTGTACCTACTTAAACAATTCCGATAAGTGCTACTACCTGTATTGAGAAAACCATGTCGAAACACTTTTAAAAAGATACTTTTTGCACAGTTGCCATCAACTAAATAGCATCACTTTTACGAAACGTATGTATGTCTAATTTACGGTAGCAATATTACCTTTGTAATATTCCCAAAAAATTATACTAGTAATAAAAAAAATATTTTTAAAACATACTTTTAAACTGAGAAAGGGACAAATTTAAACACATTTTATTTTAAAAATTGATATTCAATTGTTTTGTTTACATGCTCCATATTTTATATACCTTAAATTAAAAAGTGCCTTAACAATAATGAAGCAGTCGAAAAATGGTAAAACTATGAACATATATTTTAATGTTTTTAGCAACAAAAGTTATGTTTCGTACACTGTGCATTTTTTTTATTTTTTGTAATTATTAGCTGGCAAAATTCATCGACTTTAGAAAAGTATATTAAAGTATTCAACCTATCCAACTACGCAAAACAAAGTTCCACGGAAACATAATAAGTTAGCCAAATAGCCATTCTTTATTTACAAAGTAGTGCATCTTGGTCAAGTAGTTGACCTGTTTACAAGACTAATACGTCATTGTGTTTGAAATTCTAACAGTTATATTTAGTCGTATTAAAAAAAAAATTAGAAACAAAATATCTTTAACATGCTGATATGGCTGGAGATAAAAAGTTGTCGAAGGCTGTATAAATTTAACAAGGTTAGATAGCAATTTTTTCTATCTTATCATAGAAAGTATCTTTGCGTCTAATTACCGCTTGTATTCGCGAAAACCTATGATCTTTGCCAAAACTTAAATGAATATTGATTTGGTCCTAGTTATCAAATAGCATTTCTAAAGAAAGATCGCGAAAATGATTTTGCAAACTTTTTTTGATAAGCAGAAAACATTATGGTTAATTTTGAAGACTTGCCCTAAGAAGAAGTAGGTATACAAAACTGGGAAATGAAATTTAATGCTCATAAAAACGGATGGTTTTAGGCTAAATATATTTTCTTAATATATTAAAAAAATTTAAAAACACCTTTACTCAAAGTTAAAAAATATTTTTTTATTTTAAATATCAAGATGTTGCATATATTTATATTTATCGCAAAAAAAACTGAAAAATAAAATGTGATTCTCATTAAAACGGATGGTTTAAATTATATACATTTTTGTAATATATAAAAAAAAAATTTAAAAACCCCTTAGCTCAATGCTAAAAAATATCTTTTTATTTTAAATACCATGATATTGCACATATTTATATTTATCGCAGACTTAGACTTAAAATACTATACAAAAAAAGTAAAAAAGAAAATATTTAAGATTATTACTAATTATTTTTTGTGTTCAAGCTTCAAGAAGTATGTATTTCCATTCAGTTGAATACCCAACTCATCCATCAGCTCCTGGGCAATCTTTTCATTCAGATTAAGTTGCTCATGTATCGGGAAAAGTGGCCAATTGAGGGGGGAACTCGCTGGAGGGGAATGCCCTTAACAAGCGGCAAACAAGCCAAGTCCGATGTGGCTGGAGACATTATTATTATTATGTACGTCAACGATAACTTGGCAATGGCCAAAATGACAAAAGCAGTGGCCGTCGGCTGAAATGTGAACGGAAATTGGGGGGGGGGGTATATGTATATACATATATATATGGGGTATATATCTGCGGGAAGTGGCAGTAAAAGTAAACCTGAGGTAGGCAGCACCTGCATTAAATTATTGATTCGATTTCGCGCGCGGTTCGTTTTTATTGTGGCCAACTTTTTGTCTGAATGAATTGTAGCCGACCGGCATTGTCAAAGTTTCGAGTTTGGGTCCACCCTGGGCAGACACTCACGCACACCCACACACACACACACACCTGGCTGTCAGTCTGTCACGTTGCCTTCCACTTTCTGCGAGTGTGTGTGTAAGTGAGTGGGGGGGGAGGCTGCCACGCCCAGAAACAGCATAACAATAACAAAAAAAAAACGGGAGCAGACAGGCAAAAATTTATGTGTGCGACGCTGAGCGTTCCTTGAATGCGCACACTGAGAGAAATAAAGAGGTAATAATAACAAATTAAAAAAAAAAACCTGAGAAGAAATATGGATTTATTATAATTTTTATCAGTAGTTCTTTGCTTACAAAGTATTTTATTTATAAATAGAAAGCCTTTCATTTTTTATGCTTTGTTGGTTAATTAATAATAACAATCGATTTTTTAATTAATAATATAGAACAGGTAAAAAAAGCAAATTATGTTTAGATATTTATTAAAGTGAATTTGTCTTTCTATTAATAGTTTCAGATAGGTTTTTACAATTTTTGAAATATTTTGTTTAATGTTATTAATAAAAAAGGATTCATAAATTTAAAAACGTACCTTAAATTATCAAATTCTTAAAATTAGGAGCTCAAAACGTTAAAATTTTCTATAAAGAAATATTTAAAAATTATTAAGATCATGAAAGATAATAGTTATTAATTTAAACTTTTATTTTACTATGACATACATTTTAACACATATGAGTTATATTTTAACCCCTTAAGGTAAACGCACATTGCACTGTTTTTAGTTGTTATATAACAAACAATTCGAATTTCTCTCAGTGCACTTATGGGCACGTATACATGTGTATGGCAAACAAGACATAATCAATCACTTAACCCAAAAACGCACACCAAACGTTCGTTTCAATTAAAGTTTCGTTTTCATTCACTTAGCCCGGGAAATGGAGATGGGGGAAAAGTCCAGAAAAATGGTAGAGGAAAGCTAGGAAAAAATAGCGAAATCATTTCATACACTGGACGAAATGGCACGGCCAATTATTCAGATTGCAGGCAATGACTAATGGCTGCAGCATAATGATGAATCATTCTTGTTGATTCGAATAACTTCGGCCCAATTAATTATATTGATAGTTATTCAAACTTTGGCTGCTTTGTTTTCTTATATTTAAGAGTTACTTTGGCCAAATTAAAATTGTATATTAAGGTTATTTGAAACTGCCTTGTTTGGTTTTTTATTTAATTATTTTATTTGCATCGAGTATTTAATTTGTTCTTGTTTTATGTAGAATTTAATTAAGCACTGTTGCAATTTATTCTCATTTGTTTTCTTATATTTGCGAGTTATTTTGCCAAAATTCGAATTTTATATTGATGTAACTTAAAACTGGCTTATTCTTTTTTTAAATTATTTTATTTGCATTAAAACTAACTTTTCTGCAAACTAATGAAGCACTTCTGCAATTAATTCTCATTTTACCATCCAATTTAATTGAACAACAATTTTCTTTTGCAATTTTCATTTAATTTAAGTTTAAATACATTTTATTTCTACTCCATTCACTTGAAATGTATACTCGCTTCGCCTTTTTAACGAAAATCATTTATTTTATTGTTTGTTTTCCATTGAATCACTCTATCAAAAAGTAATTAAATCAAAATGGCAGTAACTTTCTTGTGGGCAATAAAGTTCTCATTGAGAAAACAGAATGCTATTATCCCGATGGTCTTGATTTCATAATTACGCAAAATATAATTACTGATAGCTGTGGCCTTTTAGGTTGCAATATTGTTTACATTTTAATGAGGGAAAATAAATTCGCTGCTTGAAATTCAGTTTTAATGAAGGGGTTTAAATATCACAAATAATGGTTTTGATGTGCTGTATTATTTTTCCACAGCTACAATTTAATGAAGGAAATTGAATGCATTTTAAAATGTACTTGCTTGCATTTGCTGGGCTTTCTTTTACAATAATCAGTACCTTTTGTTGTTTAATTAAGCTTTTACCAAGGCTATCGTTTACCATTCATTGATATGTTTTCACAAATGGTAATTTTCCTATTTGATTTCCCATAAGGTATTTCTTTCATTTACCTTGGCCAATTGTAATTCAAATGCGAACTTATTTGGAAAGTTTTTTTTTTTTGCCAACATGCCATGGAATGAAATGGAATAATTTTTGCCGCAACTTTGATTTCACTTTCGTTAAACACACACATATTTAATACTATGGGGGGGGGGGTTTGGGTTGGGTTTAGGGTGGTTTTTGGGGGTTTTTGGGAGGGTTTTCCCCCACAGTTCGCGACGGAAGCTTTCAATTTCCGCTGGCAGCAGCAGCAGTCGCTTTTCTATATGAATTGGTCTGGTCGTTTCTGGTCTGGGCCAGTTATTTTCGTTGCATACTTTTCGGCACCCATAATTCGCATATCATAGGGGGGGCGAAAATCGTTGGAAAATCGAGGAAAAATCACGGAATCTGTTGCTTTCCTTGGGCCAGTGTTGCTGTAATTGAAGCCATGACGCAAGCGAAACTCGCAACCAGCGCCATTTGAATGCCTTTTCTTGATTTCCCCGACATTTCCCCACGATTTCCCTCAGAACAGAACCAAAAGATTATTCGCTTGAAAGTAATTTGTTTTCATACGACATGAAAGTCTGTTCGCGACAAGGATAAGGATAAGAAAAAAAGTTAAATGCAAAACGGCAGCGAAGATGTCCTTTAAATGATGACGGCCATAGAGGGCAACCAAAGCCAGATTATCGACTGCCAAGCCTTTGAGAGAGCAGAATTTAGGTATATATCCCTATAACATATATATAAAAAGTATATTATGTAGGCAAAATGGCAAGAGGCCAAGGGCCACCTGATCCTGCACTCAAATCACATTTTGTCACACATTTAGCATAATTTAGCACTTCATTTGCGAGGGCAAAAACCGCGACAGATGCCTGCGAAAAAGTTTTCAACGAAAAACCCGCCTCCTTTTTTCGGTGGCGAAAGATGTATGGATATGGGCTGGCATTGGGTTGCAAAGTGATTATGATGCCCCGGGCGACATGTCAGCAGACAGCAAATCCCACCAGTAGATATAAAAACACTCAAAAAAATTAAAAAAAATATTTATTCAGAGGTAGATGTTTAAAATAATACTAATACCACT